TGACATTGTAAAGTAGGATTTGAGGAAGCTGAAGGTTGTCTTAGCGTCCCACCAAGCTCTACCGGAACAAGTGGAACGAGAGAGTGCAGAACATCCGTTATTAATGGACCATAACTTGGCTCTGGTTGCACGCGTAGTAAAGCTACTGCAGCAACCTATAAACATGGCAATTATCCTTAATATATCATTAAAACAACAGTATAAATACAAGTTATACTACTTTTGGGACCAATAGCCAAACTACCCTTTTGACCTCTTTCGTTCATTAGATGGTGGGCAGGATTTCAAAATTTCACGCCAAATGCATCCAAATAAATCCAAACATAACTTACAGTTAGCGTTTTGGAAGTAGAAGAGAAGCATAGAGATGCTGCAACCTTGTAGTAATTCAGGCTATTATGGTCCAATCGAACCTTTAGAACACCACTCCATCGATCCATGGATGAATTGCCTGTCATAACAACATAGAACAAAAAGAAAAACTTCAAAACACCTAGCCAACAATCCTATAAAGCTGAGTACTTGAAGAAACATAGCCTACATGTGAAGGTATTTAGTTTCAATTTCAAATTCCCCATTCTTCATCAATTGGTATCAAAAGCTGAAGTTTTTCATACCCACTTCATCAATTTATTTAATATGTTCAGTTTCCCATGAATTAGAATGCAGAAAAACAAGAAACAGAATCATATTCCCACCAAAAAAAAAAAAGATGGGGAATCATGGATTAAGCTTTATTCTAAGCAAGAACCTCATATGATTCCATCATTCTTAATAAAAAAAAACTTAAATTTTACCAGAAACATTAGCACAGTCTCATTCTTTCCCCTTCTAATTGTTAAGGCACAATGACCAACCACAACCAATGATAATTTGAACACAACCGAAACAAGAATCAGTCCATTTCTCTGAGGAATTTCAAGAAACACAGCAAGTGCACAGAATAGCCTTAGGATTAACCATGAAAGCAAAGAGAACCCAATCTGATTGACGGAGAGATTACCTTAGCCGAAGGGAAGACGATGCAATCAATAAAGGAAAATGCAGAAATTCGAATTCGTTTCCATTGATTTTTTTTTTTTTTTTTCCTTTTAATTCACTTTTCGAGGAGATTCTGGAAATAACCTCCAAAAAAATAAAATAATACAATATGATAATTTGGGTTTTTCTTTGATGGCCTAAAGAATTGGGTTTTTATGGACCCAAATTTAGCCCAATATTGGTTGTCAAATTATGGCCCAAACGGCCCTTTATAAACGAAAACCCAAAAACTCGGATCCATTAAAAAAACTAAAAAACAAAAAAACGAATTCGAATTAGGAGATACTCTAATTAAGAGATGTGTTATTATATCCTCTTAAGAATCACTATTCCTTAATCGCTTCAACCCTAATCAAAATGAAAATTCTCAATTTTAAAACTTATTTATCCATTATTGCTTGTTTAGTTACTATATTTCTTAATTTTACTTTATTTTTATATATTACTAACAAAAAGGAATTTTTTAACCTATATATTAAGACACAAATTAAGAGTACATTTATTATATCTTTTTTTTATCATTAATTTGTTTAAAAAAAATAAAAATTAATTTTAGTTTTATAAATTGTATAATTAAATTGTTATGCATGATATTGATATTGAAAATAAAATTATTTTCATAATTTCTCATATAAATTAATTGTAAAAAAATATAATAAATGTACCTTTATTCTTGGTTTAGTTTGAAAAAAACGAGAGAAATAATCTTTTCATTTCCTTCCCCTCCTCATTCCTCTCCTCAAACTAAATATATTATTAATGATATAAATTAAAAAAATTAAAAAATAGTAATTATTACAAATAACCATGACCATAGTGTCTCCAAAGATGTTCTATCAGAAAAAAAACTTTCGATTTTTTATTAAAAATCCTAAGTTCAACTTCTAACTTCGAGATTGATAAAAAAAAAAAGGTTTAAGAGAAGAGACAGCTATCGGTATTGTATATTTCATAATGGTATCTTAAAAAATGTACCACTACT